GACAAAAAGGTTGGTTGAATTATCAACTGCTTATTAGATAAACTGTAAAATTATTGTTGAAAAAATACATTAGTGTTACAAATTGATTAAAAATGCCTATAGCATACTGTAAGGTGACAGGGGCTAGGATAGTTTTGGTTTTTATTAGGGAGGGGCTTTTGAAGAGCTTCAGTCATGCAACAGTCTCATCCTATGTAAATTACAATTCCTTTCTAAACTTAGATCACAATAAACAAAAGAAATGGGCGAAGTGCRTGCTAATTTACTGAAATACAAACAACATCATTGCTGAAGCAATCATGGACACGATAAGAGCTTGGCTTCCTCTGTTATGTGTGCCAGCATTGCATAGGTTTCCAGAGCAACAAGAGCTTGCCCTTGACCAGCTAAAAGAGAACTTTCCACTGCACTTCGCATTTCCAATATTTCCTGCATGCCCTTTACAATACTTCTGGTATATTTTACATGTAGTTTCATGACCGTCAATAATGACCTGAAAGGGAGCAACCCATAATGAGATCACCATATTTTTGGATACATCCACTTACAAAATGTTGGGTTTAAAAAAAAAATTATTTATTTATCATTTTGAAAATCGCATAGTGTAGTGCTATTTTGATCTGATACGACAAAATACAAGCACCCGCACTTCCCCCGGTGGACATCCTCGGGAACCCAGGGGTAATCTTCTGTCGCTCGTTCTTCACTCCCAGAAAAAATGGGAGTGAAGAACGAACGACAGAAGATTATCCCTGGGTTCCCGAGGATGCCCGGTGGATAAACTGGTCGCATTTGACTGATAGGCATCACCCGGTTTCTTTATACACTGCGTTTTTTTATGGGATTCGTATTTGCCAACAAATTTCATTTGATAGAATCTTTGCATGCATATGATAACGCACGAGACTGAAAACGAAATCYTTTTCGGAAGACCACAATCTGAAACCAAAAGAATAACAGCACTGGTGGCGTTCCTGCTGCGCTATGCGATGGTCGTATTCAAATCCGGTGGATTGTTGTTTTCGCTGTAAAACTAACCGTTGTTGAGTAGACACCATCGCAACATTCTGTTGTACCACTTTGACATGTCGTCTTCTTCATGTTACTACCGCAGTCGTCCGATGACTTGGTGCTATTGCACTTGTAGCACTCCAGGCCTTCGGCTGTTAATAAGTGAGAGGGAATTAAAGGTGCCCGAAGAGTGCGTGACTTGGCATGTTAATTCGAGGAGAAAACGCCAAGATACATATTTTAATGAATCTAGCTGCTTCAAAAGCAAATGCAAGCGTAAAGCATATCACTTGGTTGACTTAAAAATGTAGCAGCATTAAATAATGGTTTATGGTCTTTTAATATCGAGGCCGATAAAAAATTTCAAGAGGAAAGCATCGCGTGACAACACAAAGCACACATTATAACTAAAGAAACAGTAAATCGCGGGTAAAAATTGGCGATACGAGCAATTCAATCAGATCAGCCCGGCCAACTATAGTCCACTTCAGTTTGCAAATCATCTCAAGTGTTACGGTGAATAATCCTTGGGGTGTTGGGGTGTGACGCATGCTGTCCACAGGAAACCCGGCTTGTTGATTATGGCTACAGGTCCTACAGCAGCGGCCGTATCTCCTGCTTGGGGCAGTAGCTTCCATATTTGATAAGATGGGCCTTAAAATCCAGAATTTCTCTGTTTATACATGAAAACAAAATACTTTTTTCCAGTCGCTACTCTCGAAGGTCTCAATGGGGTTAATTAACCGCGAGCCGTGAAACGGCTGAAAAATTAGTAAAATGTAAATCCAGTCTAATCAAAGATACTTTACTGTATTTAGGTGTAGATAGTCTTCCTTTTGACCAAATTCATGGTTAACAATTAAAGCTTCTTCGCCGCTCGCCATAGTATACAATGGACTTGGCGCTTAGATTTTYCACTTCTCTGAACGAACTCCCGGACAGAATGTCACGAAAGACTATATGTCCGGGAGTCAAAATAATTTTTAATTTGATTATACGCATTTATACGGCCGATTATCATTCATTCTCTTCAATTATTAGTATTCACTAGTTTATATTCAATAATTATTTGATGTGGAACTGTGGAACGTTCGAGTGTAAT